TCCCTTAACCTTCAATTTTGAATCCCAACCCAAATCCCAAATTGTAAACTTAAACCCTAACCCTAAATCCCTAAATTCTAAATCCTTCGAATTAAAGTAGATTTTGAATGATTTTTTTTCAAATTCATGTGCTTCTTGTTCATAATATCATAAGCAACAATTGATACCGTTTGACATGAATCGCATGCTCAGAATGACAATTATAAGGCGGGCGCACTCAATGCACCCAAAAAAGTGGGTGCACTGAATACGCCACCATATATATATATATAGGTTCAGGCTAGCGTATGCCCGGGCGTACGCTAACCTAGCGTACGCCCCATTGAGTTTTGCTATATAGATCATGAATTAATCGGAGTTTGGGGCATCATACTATACCATAACCTCTAATCGGTGAACCCCAACCCCTAATTTTCTAATCCAAACCATGAGGTTCGTTTAATCTTAACATGAAAACCAATGAAAATTTCGACGAATCAGAATCGTTGATTTTCATTTTTAAGATTAAACGAATCTTGTGATTTGGGTTATTGAATTGGGGACTGAGATTCACCCATTAGGGGTTAGGGTATAGTATCATGTCCCAAACTCTGATTAATTCTTTGTCTAAATAGCAAAACTCAAGGGGGAGTACGGTAGGCCGGACGTACGCTAGCCTTTGCCATATATATATATATATATATATATATATATATATAATAACATTCATGAGTTATCAATTCTTATATAATGGTATCAGATCTCTGCAACAATTCCTAATCGTAGTGGTTATCACCTTGCTGACTGAACTTTGATCAATAACCTAATCTTTGTAAAGTCAATTTAGAATGATCATGCTACTTCCCACTTAATTCATGATTTACATATTAAAAATAAATCACCATATATAGAAGATGGCATTTGTGTTGGTCAACCAAGTTTGCATATGTATAAGAAGAAGAAAAAAAGAACGTATCTACTAGAGAATAGTCAATGCATATTGTTTATTTATTAAGTTTCCAATCTATATATTATCAAATTTTGTGTTGGTCGTAGGGTTGTTTACTAAAATTTAATGTGTGTAATGTCCAGTGTTTTCAATTATTTTACCATTAAAGATTGACTTCCAATGAAAAAATAAGTAGGAATAGCCTATTGTGAATAAAAAAGTTTACGTTAAGGAAGACAAAGACATTGGTAATTGGTGGAGATGATTGTGCTTTAGAAGGCGAAGGCAGAGCAATAACAAGAAATTCAAAATAAACTTTCAAATATTTATTGGCATCGAGTAGCAAATAATGTAACGTCTAATTAAATTTTTAGAAGTCAATTTCCTTGCAAGAATTTTCTTTTTTTTACTTTGAGTAAGGACTTCAGTCAGTAAATCGGGTCAGCATTTTGAAAATTATATGAGTATGATATTTCCAATAACTAAATTATTTAAAAATTTTATGGTATGAAATAAAATATCTTGCTTCGAACAATTACTAAGGTTATTTATACTATTAACGAAATTCATCCGGCCAACGGGCGGGCCTTGACCTAATATCATAATATAAAGGTACAAATTCTCTTATGGTACAAACTGTACGTATACCTTTAACTCTATAGTACAAGTTCAATTTGTATTTCGATACAAGTTCAATTTGTATTTCGAAAGAAGAGTCCCACTTTGGAGGGTTACAAAGCGTAAGGTTTATAAACTCTTATTTACCGTGGTATGTGAATATTAACTTGATAAGAAGCTCGTTTAGTTGGTTTATTGGGACTGAACAAATTAAACTTCCAAGAGAAAGAAAGAGTTTAAGGGATCCATCCCCTTACTTACCGCATCAAGAATTGTCTTGGATTGGACAAGTAACGGTTCAATTACAACGATCCGCAAGGTGCGAGGATCATTAATGAGGACATAGGGTCAATGATGAAGTATCCAGTTGCCCTCCTAGCCTAGCTTGGGTTGCCAAATGCTTGCAAGTTTTCGATTATTGTAACATACTTGGTTTTGTCGTTAGTTGGGAAATTAAGAAAGATGTGTCAGCTGGTTTGATTTGATTGGTTTATTTTATAGGATGGAGGTTCCCGCAAAACTCGAGTTTGCCTTGTAGTGAATAGTAATTTGCAGACGGGCCTCCGATCCGCACAAATTTGGGAAAGAAAGGAAATGTAAATTAGATCGACGAGAGAGAGAGAGAGAAGAAAGATAGACAGGGTAACTAACCAACTAATTAATAATAATCTAATAGAATTAACGAATGATGGCATATTTGGGTAGTCGGACACTTAGTATATAAACGCATTTGCTGCACCCATTTTTCTTCAAAGTGATCATCAATCATCAATACCATAACTAATGAAGAACATCACCATGATCACCTTCTCCCGTTCGCTGCTTCTTGTCGCCGCCGTCGTGATCTGCCTGCAGGCCGTCCGACCGGCCTCGACTAGCGACCCAGCTTGTAACTCTTATCAGCAAGCACTGTCGGGTAGCTGCATGGACTACTTCACCGGCAAAACCGACGGCGACCATGTGCCTCCTCAGTGCTGCCAAGTCCTCGCAGCCTATCACTCCAAGTTGGGAACCAAAGGGGAAAAGCAACAAGCTTGCAAATGCTCCCACGACTTATTCACTGCCTCTGGGGTGAAGCAGGACCGCCTCTACAAAGTTCCAGCAGACTGCAAACTACCAGTGCAAGCCGACTGCAGCAAGTAAGAAAACTCCACCCATTTTTTTCTGTTCCTAATTGATTCGATCGCATTATTAGTTATTCATATCTCTAACATCGTCGACCATGCTAGCTAGCTAGTGTTCCTTAATTATTGTATCTAAAATTATTAATTCCCCCCTGCAGGATTAATTAAGTGGATGATCCCTGCATGCATAACATTATTGTTCACCAATCAATCGCGCGCACACATGCAAGGAGTTCATTTTCCAGGAAGAAGAATATTTATGAGAAACAACATATATACTATTATAGATCGTTTTTAAGTAAGCTCATCTAAATGTCGCAATTTGAAGGTTTCTTTCTTTTGTACCACGTACAATAAGTGGTTAACCCACAACTTTACTTATATGCTACTTTCTTAATAAATCAAATATTACCTATATTGACAACTAAACCCTTGCTATATAATAGTCCGACAATATTAATTACCTATGTGCATATGAACAATGACAAAGTCAGGATTAATTAGGTGGATGATATTGATTGCTCTACTAGCTCCCTCTTATATAACATTATTGTTAGGGGTGGCTATACGGTCCGGTCCGGTTAAATTGGCCCAAATTGATTCAGTTCAGTCCGGTCTTTTTGAAAATATAAGGACCAAAGATTGGATTGTATACAGTCCTGTCTTGATTCGGTCCGGTCCCAATTCGGTCTTGATTTTATATTGAGTTTGTGGGGATTTGAGTGGCCTAAGGTCTGAAAGAGTGAGGAGTTGGTTAAGTTTTGTACTAAGTGCAAAAGTTTGTGACCATTTATGCAAATTACCCTTAAGTTTTGGGTGTTGAGCTCTCTTATCTGGTCTTTATCCAATTTTCTATCCGGTCCCGAACGGTTTTTTACCTCAAATCTAAGCCCAAATATTGGATTGGATTGTTTACTATCCGGTCCCGGTCCGATCTTGGTCCGGGTTATACGGTCCGATTTCGGGTAAAACCAAAAAACCCGGACCAAATAGCCAGCCCTAATTATTGTTCACCATTCAGCCACACACATGCAAGGAGTTTATTTTCTAGAAAGAAGAAAATTATATGAAACAACATATCTATATGACTATATCGCAATGTTTCTTTCTTTCATGACACAAAATAACTGGCTCCTCCACAACTATACATACATGTGTTGCTTAATAACTCCAAGATTATCTATATCTACAACGAAACTTTTGCTCGATCGAGAACCAAGAGTGCCAATTACCTATGTACGTATGGACAGTCATGACAAGGTCCGGATGTAAAATGACAGTGAAAAGGGGTTAGAAATAAATAACAAAATACAATAGTATATATTCTAATATCTCAGCTCTAATCTTGGATGACAACTAACACTAACCACATTCTTAGCCTAAGAAAATAGAGGTGTTGATTAATTTTTGTCACCGAAACTGCTTTCCATTAAAAAATATCAAGCAAGTTAACGTCACAAGATCCTGATCTAGTCAGATATCAATAATCGACGCGAGTGACTGTGTGTTTGTATTAGTTGGTGAATCTATTATACAAGTTTGAAGAATGAATTCAAGTTTCATTAAGAATGTAAAATAAAGGGTCCAAAATTTATGTGCTAATTAAGAAATGGACACATGCCCATCCCTCTAGTGCACAAAGTTTTGATGGACATTATCTGATGACCAGTACGCGTACCAGCAGAAAAAAAACATCGAAGCATGATAAGTTTGGAGTCGGCTATAATTAATGATTTACTTGATTGATTGTGATTTGGGCGGTTGGCGACGCCCGTGCGAACTCCAACATTTCTTTACAACTCAACCAGCGATCTTGAAGTCCATGGCGGGCTGAAAACTGGATTTCCATCTTGTCAAGTGCTGGTGATGCGGCCAACAAGGATCGTACGAAAGCCATATCCAACTTTGTAGCCTCAAATTGCTCCATCTTCACGCGGTTGAGTTTCGGCCAGCTACTTTTCTTGTCATTTATAAGCTTTAGAGCCCACTCGTCTACGGCATCATATATGTGTTGCTTCCCAATCTGCAAACATTCATACACAGGAGAAAACCCTTACTTCGATGAAAATATCCAAACATGCAGTTTCGTGTAAAACACAACGGAATGAAATACATATACTCACGTACGTTGATGATTAGTTCATCCAAGTTTGAAGAAATGTTGAGGAAGCTAATGGCACACCACACATAGGCATAACACAGTGTGGTGTGTGGCAGTTCATTCAGTCTTAGCTGCTTAATGCTACTCCAGAGGCCGCCAGTACGTAACAAATCTCCATGTTCAGATCCGGTCAACAAGTACTGAAACAGACACCAAACATATAAAATCGTCAGAAGAATTCAATTCGTCTACCCAGTTGCCTGCCAATTGAAGTTCTTACGCTGTAGAAATAACCAGACAGAGAAAGCTGCTCCACTGCTGGAAGGCCGTCTTTAAATCTCGACAAGTTAAAGTATCCTTTGTCCTCGACGAAGCTGATATCTTGATGAACATGCACATTTTTGAGGAGTGGAGTATGCTTGAACTCCAGCAAGCTGAAGCTCCCCGCGACACGAAAATATTCGAGTTTAGGAGCCTCGATGACGATGCTGATCTTGTCGTTAAAATCGCCGCAGCCTACCATGGTCAATGCAGAAAGCGACGGGCAGTTAAAGCTGAAACGAGCTTCTTCACCACCGCCAATTTTGGGTACTGCCAAACCTCGAAGCTCGAGAACATCGAGCTCAGCGCTGTCGAACGCCACGTTGGAGGATCTGAACTGGCAGCCACACAGTTTCAAGTTCTTGAGCCCGGCGAAGGAGAAAATGCACCTCGGCAGCACATAGTCTTTGATGTCAATGGACAGGGACTCGATGCGTCGGTCGGTCAGAGAGCCGATGATCTGGCCGATCCGATGGTCGGGAAACGCGCTTCTTAGGTCCGGGATCGAGAGGGAGAAGTTTGTCAGGCAAGCACGGTGGCGCATGAGGACGTAGAAAACGTTCAGCATCAGTTTTCTGTTGGCAGCAGATGCTAGTTCCCCTGCAACTGGGTTCACTACCATACCAAATTTGTCATCGAAAACAAGGGAGGGCATGTTCATCCAAATGTTCAGCCATTCACTTGACAGAACACTTGTCTTCGCTGCTTCTCGTAGGGGCAAAAACGTCAGGATGTGCTCCACAACATTGCCTGGCAACTCACTGATTCTGTCTCTACCCGTCATCCTATAAACCCAACCAAACCACAATTAATTTAGCACGTCTAACACGTAAGAAGTTGGTACGTACGTACATACACTTGGTTGCTAAGCCTGATAATAGCTTTCACGTTAAGATATATAGCATTCGGTGAATAGCAAAAAGACAAGGAAGAAAATTGAAGCGATGAAGCAAAAATAGCCACAAACCCTAATGTACGTCATCTATACGCTGACTACTTAAGAAAAGAAAATGAGGGTAGTAATTAAACTCGGCGCTCACCGTGTAGTGGTTATTACGCAGCCTACGACTGCCGATTGCGGCAGCTAGTTTCAGGAGAAGAAGAGGAAGTCGGGGACAGAGTTTACTGAGTTCGAATTCTTTGTATTTGCTTCTGATTTGGTGATTTCCAATCGACTACAAGGAATAATATCTTGTGTATTATTATGAACATAGTGAGGGTATTTATACCCACAAGTGTACAGGTTTACATATAGGACAAGGAAATAGAGTTACATATGAACAAAGAAACTTAAGATGACTTGGATAAAGACTTATCCCTAATACACCCCCGCAAGATGGAGGCGGCGTTAGCTAGCCCAATTTTGGAACGTAACAAGTGATACCGTGTAGACGAAAGCAGCTTGGTAAGTACATCAGCAAGTTGAGTCACAGTGGGAAGATGACGGACATGAAGCTGACGAGCTTGGACCAGCTGACGGACGAAATGGTAGTCAAGAGCAAGGTGTTTCATGCGCGAATGAAACACGGGGTTGGAGCTGAAGTTAACGGCCCCAAGATTATCACAAAACAAGGGCGGCGCAGCGGGCAAACGGTGATGCAGTTCAGTCAGAAGATTCCGCACCCATTGGGCTTCCGATGTGGTCAACGTAATGGCACGGTACTCAGCCTCCGTGCTTGACCGAGAAACCGTTCCCTGCTTTTTAGACTTTCAGGAGATCAACGTATCGCCGAAGTAGATCAAGAGCCGGGCGTGGAGGTGCGATCATCAGCCCAGTCCGAGAAGACACGAAGGAAAAGTGGAGAGGACTGGCGACGTATATGCAGGCCAAGAGTGCGAGTACCAGCAAGTACCGGAGCAGGCGCTTGACGTGCTGATAGTGCAGAGAAGTGGGTGCGTGCATATACTGGGAGAGTTTGTTCACTGCAAACGCAATGTCAGGGCGAGTGGTGAGGATGTACTGGAGAGACCCAAGAGCCTGACGATAGAGTTTGCCATCAGCAGCGGTTGTGCCATCTCGAAGAAGAAGCCGAGCAGTAGAAGCCAGGGGGGTCGAGGATGGCTTCGCCTCATGCATTTGGAACCGAGTATGTCCTGAACATACTTATGCTGGGAGAGAATGTAGCCAGTGGTAGTAGGAAGGACTTCAATGCCAAGGAAGTAATTAACTTGACCCAGGTGCTTGAGAGCAAACCGCGCGGACAGTTGATCCTAGAACTGCTGAAGAAACTCAGAGTTGTTGCCGGTGAGGAGCAGGTCATCGACATACATGACGAAGTAGGGGAGCACACCGTGGCGATGATAGAAAAAGAGTGAAGCATCCAAGTGTGTCTTGACGAACCCACACTTGACAAGGAAGGAGCTCAACTCGTCGTACCAGGCTCGAGGTGCTTGGCGCAAGCCATAAATGGCCTGGCGGAGACGTCACACGTGATTAGGATACTAGGGTCCTTGAAATCAGGAGGTTGAGCCATATAGACCTTCCCTTGAAGAGGACCCTGCAGAAATGCATTATTAACATCGAACTGAAAAATTGGCCAGCTGTGAGAGAGAGTAATGGTAAAGACTGTGTGAACTGTAATAGGCTTGAGAACAGGGCTGAATGTCTCATGAAAATCGACCGCAAGGCGCTGATGAAACCCTTTAGCAACCAGTCTTGTTTTAAAATGCTCAATCTCACCAGTGGGCAGGAGTTTGATAGGATATAGCCACCAATTACCAATGACGTTGTAGTGGGGCAGCCGGGGCACATGATCCCATGTCATGTTGGCGCGGAGCACATTAAACTCAACATCGAGGGCACGATTTCAGTCCTCATGTAGGAGGGCCTCCTTGACTGAGGTGGGCTCGAGTGGAGGAGTGACTGAAGATGCGGTCACAACCTGCACATATTTACGGTGAGGCTTCACGATATTATTTCTTGACCGTGTTACCATGGGATATGGTGGTGCAGCAGTGCTGGCTGCAGTAGTGACCAGCGGTGGTGCCACGGGTGCGGGTGAGGTGCGCACCAGGGAAGCGACCTGCACAGGGGAGCGAGGAGAGGTGGAGGCTAGACGGGCAAGAGGCGTTGGTGGAAGCTGTGACACCACAGGAAGACATGCGGCCATCCATGACGTAGAGGACATAGGGGACGAGGGACTGGGTGGCCCGGTCGAGAGTCCAGGGAACTCATGTTCTACAAAAACAACATGGCGAGACAAAAAAAGCCATTCGGTAGCTGGATCATAGCACTTATAGGCACTTTGTTGATGGGAGTAACCTAGGAAGACACATGGTCGTGAACGTGGAAGAAGTTTGTGAGAACTGTAGGGACGGAGCCAGGGGAAACAAAGAAAGCCAAAAACACAGAGTTTGGAATAGTTGGGAGGCACATTAAACAGGACAGTGAAGGGAATGCGACCACGGAGAGAGGAGGATGGTATCCGATTGATGAGGTATGTGGCTGTAACAAAGGCATACAACCAGAAGGTGAGGGGTAAGGATGTCACATCCCGATCTTTAAAACCTTTAAATAACAGTTTTGCTCCGGAGCACATTTAAAATTTTGAAAGAAAGAAACGATAATGTGCTTGAAATACCAATACTGAAAATACATCTTATAATTTAAAAGCAAAGCCCTAACAGTTGGGCAAACCTCAATCCATAAAGTCTTATCCTTTTAAATCTCCAGTCATTACTCATAATCATAAAGCAAATAACTAAAGATTACAAATGCTGCTTACTCCGATCCGTGGTCAGACATCTTCAGAAGTGCTCACGTGGTCCTCCTCGGGTAGCCTGCTCTCTCGCTGGATGCTCCTCGACTGGATGCTCTCTAGCTCCTTCTCTACGACCTGGTGAGTGGGTTGGGGTCAGTCTACGCCATTACTTAAACTTGAAGCACTTACGGGTATTCCCTTAAGTGTTCACCTCAAAAACCCGTGGAAGTTATTTATACTTCCACCCTTTAAACTTTAACTCTTAAAACGTGGGAGTTGCTGTTACTTGCCACTCTCAAAAATATTAAACCCTTGACCGACACTGGGATCCCCTCACTAACTAGTCCAACCGCCCAGCTCATACGTATGAGGGCCAACATAGGCCTTTCCTTAAACCTTTTTATGGGAGTAATCTATTCAACCCCATAAACCTTAAGAGTATATCATACTCTTCCTTTAAACTTCATGTGATGTCTAAGTGATTCATCCACATGTTCCTTAAGAGCAAACTTGCTCTTCCTTTAAACTTTCACTGGGCGGGGGACTGTCGTTAGTGAACTATCTTTAAATCTTTTCACCCTAATTTAATTAGGAGTGAAATACCTCTTAAATATTGATCCTTAAAGATCAAACAACCTTCATTAAATAAACATAAATATAAAAGTTTCAAGTAAATACTGAAAGCTCAACTAATCATGTACTTCACAATCATACTCAAATAGAGCATCTCGGATAATACCTTAAATAAAACATGCTTTATCAATCACGACATAAATCAATCACTGGCATACGATTCACATAAACACACATACTTAAAACTCGTAATTCAAATACTTGAAAATACGTAAGGCGTAGAATTTACCCCCTTAAACCACTCACCTCTCAAATGACGATTCTTAGTTCCCTTGATGTGAAATCCTTAATCCGATCGCTTCCTCAATCCTATAAACTGAAATTATCTTCCCTTAGTCGGTAATCCTCAGATTTAGTCCCTTTAACGTATTGGGAAAATTTCCCTCATTGGTTACTTAGTCCCAAAATCCTTTAAAAATGACCCTCAATCTCTTTTAAATCATTTCCTCAAAACTAAACTTTTCAACCCTTTAATCAAAATAACTCTTAAAATAAATATAATAAAATCCTCATAAGTTTCTCAAAGTATATTTTCCACTTAAAAATCCAAATTCTGACCTTAGGTATTTCAACTCATTACACAAACTTAGTAACCATAAATGACCCTTTAAATAACCTCATTTTCCTATTACAATTTAGCATATATAATTTTTTAAACCAAGTCACGAACACTAATAATTTTGATCCATAATTTTATAATATCAATACAAAACCTTAGTTTCATGAGAAATTATCAAATCCCAAAATAAACTTCGAACAGTATTTTATTTAATTAAACCTAACATTCGTTCATTTTTTTATAAATACCAATACAGATCCAAAAATTATAAAATTAATATACAAGTATCATACGAATTTTCAAAAATTTATAAAATTATTACATCATGTAAACACATATGGAAAGCATCGGAACTAAACATCATTATTAAGAAAATACAATTTTCGGGTCAATTTGTCAAAACTCAAAACTCTGAGGGACTAAGCTGTTTATACTGAACACTTGAGCGACTGGTCTGGAAAATTGCTCAACAGTGTTTAGCGACAGAACCTATTTTGTCACTAAAAGACTGCAATATTCGTCGCTAAATAAAACAACAACGTATATACGTATAGATCAAACCATAACTCGGCTTTAATCGATGAGGTCGAACTCCTTACCTCCAGAACGAGCCTAAAGCTAGATTTGTTGGGTTGAAACGTCGTTTCCCCTTTGTCGAACGCCGTTCAAGTCCCTCGCGATGTTGTCGTCAAACTATGAGCATACATACATGAGTTGGGTTATTTGCTGTTTAAACTAAGCTCGGAGTTCGACTGGGATCGAGAGCCTTACCCACGGGAGTGCAAAGATGAGTGCCTGATCGTGGGTTTTGGTGGAATCGACGCGAACAGGGAATTCCCGATGGCGTTCTCGGTCGAGTGGCCGATGCTGCTCCCTTTGGTCGAGGAAAACTCACGGAGAGCTTCTTTTCTCCACCGGCCGGGTCTTTGTGCGAGAAGAAAAGGAGTCGGGCGGGAGGCTGGTGCTTGTTAGTGAAGTGGCTCTTACTTCCTTCTTTCTAGCACCCGAGAATGACAGAGAGTGAGAGATCCGAGTAGTCTGAAAACCGAGCGGCGAAAGGAGAGGCTGCTCTATTTTGGTCTGCGTTTACGTCAAGGGAAAATGGGGTGTAATGGTGTATTTTGCAGGATTGGTAAGGATTGGAACAAGCATGGCTTTCCCCACTCTATTCCTTGGATTTAATTTAAGGACTAAGGGCGTTCAGGGAGTGGGAGGTAGTTGTCATGGGTTGTCTAGCTAGCTGTCTCTCATTAAAGTGTTTCACTGGTCTGATGGGATAAGGGAAATGGCAGTGTAAATGGATTGTTGGTGGGTGAGTTGATAAATGGTGTAAATGAGATCAATCAATTATGCTTGGAAGGGTAATTACTAATTAGAGAAAATCTCATCTAAGTGTAATTTGGGGTGGGTGTGTAACGAGTGAGAGTAAGATTGATTCTCACTTTCTTTTATAATAATAATAATAACACTCATTAATGTTATTCCTAATTCATGTACGATTGTAACTCTTCGTACGTAATCGTTACTCCAAACGTTCATTTAGTATGGTCGAACCTGAACCAAATATCGGGGTGTTACATTTCCTCCACCCTTATATAAATTTCGTCCCCGAAATTGGAACTGTTGGTTGGGAAATAAGATGCCCCTAATTGTGCCGAGGTAAATCGTATTCAATTAGAATTGGATAGAGTGGGATGTAAGAAAGGATGCCTGATGCAACAAGGTGAGACCGGTCTCTACAATATGACGATGTTTTCTTTCAGCTAAGCCATTGTGTTCTGGGGTGTATGGGGGTGTCAATAGATGTGTAATGCCATGGTCGCTAAGAGTGGAGCAAAGCTTAACAAATTTTCCACCACCATAAGTGTATAGGCGGCGAATGGAGGTTGTAAAGAAGTTGGCAACAAGTCGGGTAAAAGCAATGAACGTAGGCAACACATCTGATTTTAGGCGAAGAGGATAAATCCATGTATACCGAGTAAATTGATCAACTAGGACAAGATAATATTGAAATCCATCAACCGACAGTACAGGAGCAGGGCCCCAAACATCCGAATATAACAAATCAAAAGGTCGACTACTAGCAAGACTCGAATCTCCAAAAGGTAGTTTGCGACTCTTATGAGATAGACATGACGGGCAATGCGACATAACTGACGATTTAGACACGGGTAGGGAATTGACACGAAGTAAACGAGTGAGAGACTTGGAGGAGGGATGACCGAGTCGCTGGTGCCATGATTGAGCAGAATGTCGAGCTGTCACCAACGCCAACCGAACCGCCGATGCCCCTCCTGGAAGTTCATAGGTATCACCCTTGTTCCTTCCTCTCAGTAGTGGCGCCCCCGTGCGAAGGTCCTTCACAAGAAAAAACCAGAGAAGAATTCCACCGAAATCGGGTTAGTGCGACATAGTTTAGCAACATAGATTAACTGTTGCTTGATAGAAGGAACATACAACACATCTTTAAGGGCAAGGGAGTGAGTAAATGTAGACAGTTTGGAGGAACAGATATGAGTGATACGCAAACCTGAACCATCACCAAGATAAACCTCATCAGGATCCGTGTAGTCAGAGTAGCGGCCAAGATTTCCGAGATCATTGTTCACATGATGAGTAGCTGCCGAGTCCATTAGCCAGGAGCCATCACGTGCAGAAGAGTTGGATTGCGTGTTGTGAGCCTGAGGACGCTTGTGAGGATGAAGTTGATAGCACTGTTTTGCGGTATGGCCAGGTTTGTCGCAGGACTGACAAAGAACACGAGAGGTACGTCGAGACTCCCCATCATCAGCATTGCGAGGGGGCTCCCTGGACGACTACGAGTCGCCATAACATGGCGAGGAGCCACGGCCACCACCACGACCGGAGTTGCCACCACGCCATCCACGAGCTCCACCACGACCACGTTGAGTGTTGTACGCGGTCGCAGGAGACAGGTGAGAAGCACGGTGAGCCTTGATGTCCGCTTCCAAGGACAGCAGGCGGTCGAGAAGATCCTCAAGGGTGGGCGGAGTTTCGCGAGCCCTAACACCAACGGTGAATTCATTATAGTCGTCGCCAAGGCCGCGAAGCCATAGGGAAACAAGTTCCTCATCATGAACGATCGTGCCAGCAAGAGCCATCTCAGATGCCGTAGAGCGAAGGGATTGGACGAACGTGGAGACATCACGATCACCCTTCTTCTCCGCGAGTAAACTATCACGCAGAGACATGGCGCGCGATCGGGAGGAGTTTGCATACAACCGGACGAGGGTTTGCCATGCGTGGGCTGTTGTCGAGGCGGCTGATAAACGGGCATACGCCTTCAGAGACAGAGGCCAGAAGAGAATTGAGGAGCAGCTTGTCCTGTCGAAACCAGTGAGTGTAGGCTGGATTGCGGACAACAATACCATCAACTTGAGTTGTCTCGACTGGTGGCGGAGTCGTACCATCGAGGTAGCCTACAAGATCAAGGACTTGTAGGAGAGAGAGCAGCTAGGCACGCCACGAAGGAAAGTTGGAGGACGTGAGCTTCAAGGGAAGGCTCGTTGCGGGGTTGATGGTGACCAGCGACGGCAGCGTCGCATCGAAGGTGTCAGTAGATGTGACGGAGCTGTTGGATGACATGCTGAACACGAATGGAGGCTGACGACTTGAGAAGCAACGCTGAACTGCAAGTCGTCGACGAGGAGCTAGGGTTTTGAGATCAAAGCTTTGAAGCAAGAGGCTCTGATACCATGTAAGGAATAATATCTTGTGTATTATTATGAACATAGTGAGGGATATTTATACCCACAAGTGTACAGGTTTACATGTAGGACAAGGAAACGAAGTTACTTATGAACAAGGAAACTTAAGATGACTTGGATAAAGACTTATCCCTAATACTACAGGAATATCTGTTTGTATTTTGTAACAACACAAAATGGAAGACGGTGGGTACCCTAACCCAACCTTAGTTTGTGAGGCCCTAATGCAAGCCTGTTTAGTAAAAGCCCAATGTAATTGGCCAAGCTCTCTACCTCAGCTCTAACCCATCAAAGACGGTCCAAATTTCAAGGATCGATCTCGTTTTCATCTTCGGGTTCGGTCCATCTTATTTCAAAACTTAAATCATAAAGTATATTAAATAGGGAAATGATATTTTGTGAAAACTTTTAATATTTTAAGTTAAAACATGTTGACCTGGCAGTTTAGTGGCGTGTTGACCATTATGTTGGATCGTTAGTGAACGATTTTGACCGTCCAACATAACGGTCAACTCTCGGGTTTGGCCAATTTAGTAAAGGTTAGGGTTACGATAGGCTATAATGTTATATATTGAATAGATTGACTATAATGTTAAATATGAGAAAAGTTCGAGGCAGACAAATATATTAACCCTAGAAAATTCATTAATTTGACTTGTTAATATTCACTGAAACTGGTGTAAGCATCATGCAAACAGACTAGGTGTAAGCACACTAACGTTTGCCTAATCAATATATGTTATAATTATAATAAATATATAGTTGTTTTATGAAATTAGTGCTCTTTTTAACTATTCTTTTAGATTTGGTGATTTATTATTGTACTTTTTTCATTTATATTATGTTAATATATGTGTTAACATTAATATCTTTGAAGTAATATATAGAGAAAATATTATACGAATCACGATTGGGTATGGATATGATATTGATTTTCTACAATATTTTTATGTGAGTATATATGTGTCAAAACAGAACCCGAATCGAGTAACCCATCCGTTCAACCCGACACGCAACCCGACCATAACGCGAACCGACTAAAAGTCAATTATCTGTAACCTGATTGAACTCGAACTCGATGAACACGTATCCGATGAAACCACAAACCGATGAACCCGAAACTCGATTAACCCGCAACCCAATTGAACCCAACCCAAACCCGCCCGATTGACAAGTATATGTGAGTATATGAGTATATGTATGAATAAAACCTTAACTATATTTTGTAGGCCAACGAATATTCACTATCCGTCTCTGAACTGTTGCCAACCCAACTCTCCGTTGGCATGGGACGCTGGACATAAACGAGTCGGAGTCCATTTGGATTCCCGTTATGGAGTTCATATGCTCTATACCACTTATAGGAATGATCACCAGCACACATCAGTTATACCACGATTTGGAAGCTGCTTGAAAGATATAGGAAAGCTGTGAATGTGATCTCTCTTATTTACGGCGAGAATAATAAGTGTGCAGATTACTTAGCTAGTAAAGGCTTCATTTCGTTCAGGTCGCCAATCTTATGTTAAGTTATTGAACTTCGTATGATTTGTACTTTATGCCGCGTCCCAAACCATGATAGATTAACTAGATTTCAATATAAAAGCAGGCACAATTGGATGTCAATATACCGTGCAATTCTCTATTCAGAAATTTATAGCCATCATTCATGAGCTCTCTGCTGCAACACCTCGGGAAAGTTATCACTGCCAATCTGCAACACGATATCACTTCTCATCGGGAAACTAAAAGTCTAAAATTCTTACCACAATCCCAACCCACGAGGCTCCATTCCACCTCTATAAATCGTCCGCCTCCTCCACTCTTCCCGGCAACTCGCCGCAGCTCCAACACACAGCAACTCAAAAGCAAGCAACTAGTTTAAACTATACAGCCACCAACAGAAAAAGCCAACAACCATGAAGAACTTGGCACTGCCCGTTCTCTTCCTCCTTTCTTTCCTCTTCGTTGTAGCCAACGTCAGCGAAGCAGCCGGAATCACCTGCCCTACTGTGACCTCTAAGGCCGTTCCTTGTGCTGGATTCGCCACCGGCCATGCTCCGAGCCCTGCCCCTGCTTGCTGTGCCGGGCTGAAACAGCTAGCAGGGATGGTTAGAACGTTGGATGACAAGAAGGCCATTTGTCGGTGTCTCAAGGCCACCTCCAAGTCCATGGGAGTGAAGGATCAGTTCCTGAGCAGGATCCCTTCAGCATGCAAGATCAATGTCGGGTTCACTGTCTCGGTCAACACCAACTGCGAGACGTCAGTAATTCCATATGAAAAAATATATAAAATTCGCATTATGTTCTCCTTTCATTAAGCCCTTTTCAAGTTTCTGTTCTCGACTAATCTGTCGACAATTCTTGGTATCTGCAGGATCCAATAAACAGCAGCAGACGAAGTGGAGTGTGGATCAGAAGGGGGAGGGACTTCGGTTGCGGCCCTTACCAGTTTGTAGCAGTTAGCCAGTGTCGAGTTGAATAAAACATAGATGAGGGGAATGTATCAATACGATCCTTCAGAGGATCATGTTTTTCTACTTCACGAACACAAATAATAAGAAAGCTTTTTCCTTATATAAGGGTGAAACCATTTTATTCATAAGAGTAAGGCAGGAACATACATGGAAAAGCAAACGCCAAAAGCAGGGGAAACCCTTGCAAGATGTCAAAAGAATAAGGGAAAACGATAAGAAAGCAAACTGCTAAGCTCAGGTGAGTATTACAAACACTAACAGATGCCCTCAGGCCAAACAGCAAGAGCAAAAGCAGCATGGAGGCAGGACAGCAATCATCCAAAATAGTTCACGATCTCTAAACTATAGGGTGTTTTTTTCTCGATTCTTGAACTATTAGTCTATTACGCATCTTTAGTCCCATGATTTAGGCAGAAAATATAAAACTCCAAACTCACAACTATAAATTCATCAGCAGCTGTAAATTGCCATGTTGGAAGAAAGGCAGCCTGCGATGTAGACTGTGACCAAACAAACTGTGCCCGAGGGCACTGGGATGAAGGTGGGAGACTACCAAGGAATTTCCTGGCCATCCCAGGCAAAGAATTTGCCATTATCGTTCGCCTTTGCATTGTTGATGATGCTTAGGAGCTTCTGCACCGAGAACTCGGTGGTGAAAAGCTTTTCTTTCGGGACATTTTTCTGGAATGGTCTTGAAAGGTCGGTATCAACAGTCCCCGGATGAAGAACCAGGCATACTATTGGATCCTTCTTTCGCCCGAACTCCACCGACGCATTCTTGGACACTGCGTTTTGTTTTGCATCGAAACAGAATGCCAGCCAGCATTGTAAACAATCAATTAATGATGTCAGTACATGACACACAACGAATTGCTCTAGGGAGCTTCAGAGGAGGAGCCATACACTGATTTAGGGCAGACTTGGAGCTGCGGTAAGAGTGCCAACCCCCAAGTTTGTTATCTCCAATGGATCCCACTCTGGCACTCAAACTTGCCACAACTGCAAAATCTCTTTCCGTACCTTGCCCTCCTCCAGCCTTCAGCAGAGGCCACATGTGCTGCATACAAATTGGCAACAACGGTGGCTCCTGAGTATACTGAATTCTTCCCCCATTTCTCAATACATTTTATATCTTGATAGGAAGTAATTTCCCTAGCAATCCAAGGAACGAGTAGGGGATGGATGACATTCCTAAGCTCGAATGATTCAGCTAAACTGAAAGCATACGACACTAATCAGCCAGAATGACTGGATCATGACTTCAGAATACCTTGATCACTAGAAAAGGTCCCACGGCGTTGACCTCATAAGCAAGCATCAACGACGACTTCTCTACTTTGCTCAACGTTGTCTCTGCGCTGGAAGCGAAAGAAATTAGAAACTAACTCCCTCCAGAGGTACCATGTACTTGTATCCAAAACAACATACAGACTGCTACCTGGTTGCAACACATTTGGTATAGACAGGATCCCTGATGCATTCACTAGAAGGTTCAGGTAGCCATACTGTTCCCTAATGGACTTTGCAGATGCCTGAAATATGAGACCCCAAAAATAACATGGCAAGCCAAAGAGTCATAACCCAATGACCCATATAGAAGATCCGAGACCAGAAGAGGCAAAGTCCTAATCTTTCACTCTAAAAACGCTAGAAAGGGAAGGATTACAAAAACCTCTATGGTATTTTCAGCAGTGAGATCCAACGGGAAAATGTTGAGCCGATCAGCATACTTATTCTTCAATTCAAGCAAGCCAGTGGCACCATTGGGATTGCGGCAAGTAGCTACAACTCGGCCATTGTCGTTACTTTCCAGGAGTTGTTTCACCTGTAAGTTGTAAGCAGCAACGAAATCGTAACACATTCAAATTCGGATCGGTAAAAGCAAAAGACAATGAACTCACGAATTCCAAGCCGATTCCTCTGGAAGCGCCCTGGACCATAGAGACTCCGCCTTCTGGTTTGGCCGCACTGGCAGATGCAAAAGCAGCACTTCTCACCAATCTCAGAGCCAGCCCTCCCGGCCTGGCCATTGATGGAAGGCGGCTCACCGCGAAACGCTTCATTCCCTTGGAGATAGGGTTCACAACTTTCCAGACTACGCAACGGAACTACTTCATCCTCGTGTCATTAGTCACTACAATGGTATCGCCCTCTTTCCCACCGGCTCGCCATTAATGAAACCTAGAAGAAAATTTTAATGGCGGTACTACTTCCACGGAGGAAGGAGGAGGAGATCAGGCAGGCAGCTCTCGCGCTAACTGTCGTGGTAAATGGCTCTGGTTCGGTCCCCAGACTTCCACGTGTCTGTGGGAAATGTGGACCACTCTTGGCCTATCAATCCAAATCGTGTTATGCTCTCTCAGCCCATAGAATAAATAAAAAGCCCAAACAAATCAGTCAGCTAACTGGTGTTTCAAGCTTGTCACATTCCAGGTGGCCCGTCAATCTTAGAAGTTAGATCCGTAAAAGCCCCCGGTCAAATTACAACTATGGATATAGAGACGGCAAACGTGTGGGCCGGACAAGTATCTTAATATTCATATCAATCTCGCATCAAGTACGGATTAGATTGGGTAATATTTCACCATTTTTTATGACTAGCTTATAACTCGGCCCGTTGGTCGGAATATTCATATATTTTTTTTTTTACGGTAATCTGCATTATGCTTTATTAATCAGTAGAAGCGGATACATCGTCCAACTGAAGCTGATTAACAAGAAAACCCGGAGGGCTATCAAACCAAATCACACTGTCGTTCCATCTCGAAATGGCATGCGCCATTATGTGCGCAGCTTCATTAGCTTCCCTGCGAATATGATGCCAGCTGCCCTCGCCTGATTCCAGCAGCAGCCGCCGCACGTTTCTGCAAATCACCCCTGCTTCATCGTGGAAATCATGCGCCGCCTGTAGCTTATGGACCAGGACTTGACAGTCCGACTCCAGTACAACATTATGGAAATGTCCATGAACCGCCATTTGTGCTCCAAACTCGGCCGCCAACGCTTCAGCTTCCTCCACCTTCCACCTCCCGGGAACTCTTTTTGTTGCCACCAAACAGAACCTGCCACTGGAGTCCCGGATCACGACCCCCAAGCCTGCTCCTTCTTCACCCAAGATGCCTGCATCAGTGCATACTGAGATCCGACCTTGACTCGGCCTTTTCCATCTTGTCCTTTCCTGGGTCACGATCTGCTCAATCTGTCTTCCTTGATGGGTTTTATAGTCTTCTAGTAGGTATTTTGCCCGCACCGCTATCTCCTCTTCGGGTAGTTTAGCCCCATTAAACAAATGGGCGTTTCTCTCCTTCCAGAGATACCAGAGCAGTACACACCAACCTTCAAACTTCTCGTTTTCTCCCTTTTCCAGAGCTTTCTTAACCCAGATGTAGAAAGATTCGTCATCCTTCTTCAGCTGGAACAACCCCAAGAACTCCGATTGCCGCCAAATTCTGGACATCCACTGACACTCGCTGAACGTATGATTCTGGGTTTCTACCAAATCACAGAACGGGCATCTGTCACTTCGTCGCGGGTTACGTTTGTGAACTTGCACACCTGTGGGTAGAATTTCTCTCATAAACCGCCACATAAAATGTCTTATCTTTGGTGGGATATTTAGCTTCCAGATCTCCCTCCAAACTTCCGCTTCACCTTGCGTCTCCACTCCTTTCAGCCGCAGGAAATCCGCCAGCCAGAGTTGGTATCCTTCCTTTACAGTATAATTCCCAGCCTTGCTATTATGCCAAATCAAAGTATCAACCTCCCCATTTCCCCTCAAGGGAATTTGCTTGATAGCCCTCACTACTTCCGATGGGAAGCAGCTCTCGAGAAGCGTCTCATCCCAACATTCCAGCTCCGGATCTATCAACTCCCGAACAGCCGCGTCGACCGGCAAACCCATTGGTGCCGAGGGTATAAACTGACCAGGGAGCCCCGGTACCCAACGATCGCCCCAGATTTTCACGTCGGCTCCAACTCCTATCCGCCATCTTAACCCACGGTTCAGAAGTTCCTGTGCGCTAAGCAAGCTACGCCAAACATAACTCGGCCTGTGCCCCAGAGTTGCATCCAGTATGGACGAATTCTTATGGTATTTCGCCTTAAGGATGCGGGCAATGAGAGAACTTGGACGCTTCAACAGGTTCCACACCTGCTTTGCTAACATAGCCTCATTGAACCCCTTCAAGTCCCTGAACCCCATGCCACCATCCTCCTTCAAATTGACCATCTCCTCTCGTCGCAGTCCGTGCGCCCTTCTTTCCGCTTCTCGCTGCCCCCACCAAAATTTATAATCATGTTGTGGGCTTCATCTATCGTACTATCCGGTATCTTAAACACCGACATGGCATAACTAAACTGCGCTTGCGCCACCGATTTGATCAGGACCTCTCTTGCTGCCACCGACAGAGTTCTCTCCTTCCACCCACTCAGCTTCTTTCGAAGCCGCTCTTTAATTCCTTCGAACAACATTTTCTTCGATCTCCCAGCTTCTGTTGCTAATCCCAAATATTTCTGATGTTTCTCGACACCCTTCATTCCCAGCACACCCCCTATCTCCAATCGCCTATGCGGTAGAACATTCGAGCTAAAGGAAACTTCAGATTTTTCAAAACTCACACACTGGCCTGATTCTCGTTCGTAGTCTTTGAGAATCTTTTTCAGCTCCAAACTTTCCTCCACGGTTGACCTAGCAAAAAAGATACAATCGTCAGCAAAAAATAGATGGGACACCACAGGTGCTCCTCTGGCCGGCTGAATCCCATGGATCCTTTTCTCCTGAACAGCCAACGACGTGTACGCTGAGAGTCCCTCCGCACACAACAGAAACAGGTACGGCGACAGCGGGTCTCCTTGCCTCAGCCCCCTACTCGGCTCAAATGCAGGTGACTGATGGCCATTCACCAACACTGAAAACGTTACCGAGCGCACACAAGTCATAACAACAGCCACCCACTTCTCATCAAAGCCCATTCTCCTCATAACCCCTTCCAAGAAATTCCATTCTACTCGATCATATGCTTTCGCCATGTCTGTCTTTGCCGCGAGAAAACCTCTTCCCTTCTTACCTTTGTTCTTCATCGAATGAAAGCACTCAAAAGCTCCCATGACATTATCAGTAATGAAACGACCGGGCACAAACGCACTTTGTTCCGGAGAAATAACTTTGTTCAGCACCTGTTTTAGCCTGTTCGCTAGTACTTTCGCCACCAACTTATAAAGCACATTGCACAGGCTAATAGGCCGGAACTCTTTAGGGGAAACCGGGTTCTTTACCTTCGGGATTAGAGCGATCAGGGTGTGATTTAATCCCGTTGGCATTGCTGCATTTTCAATGATCTCTTTCATATTTGATTATTTATATTTTCATATTATGTTTAAGTTTATCAATTTATTTAATTTTATTGACAATCCTTCGATCGAGATGATACATAACGAAAGAATATATTTTCATATTACGTTTAAGTTTATCAACTCATTTAATTTTATTGACAGTCCTTCGATCGAGATAATACATAAAGAAAAAATATATAGATAATTAAATGCCCAGTAAAATGCTATTGGTTAGTTGATTGTCAAGAAAGATAGAGTGTAAAAGCGCACTAAAATTCCCTCACGAACCATAAATAGTTTGAAACTAAATCTTAAACCTCGCAATCCTACAAAAAAGTTCAATGCTCTCTTTTTAGGAACAATATGCCACTAATCAAAAAGAAATGAAGAGTTGTTGATTCAAGTCAACCATATGCTAACAACTCAGCTAAGAGAGGACCATCACAACTTGAGAGCAAACGCCAAAATTAGGGTTGCCTCCAATATACTAATAGACTCTATCAAAGTATTAAAGAACAAAATTAGATACTCCTCTATTAGTTCCAGTGGGTTGAATAAAGAATCGACCGACCTACTTCGGTAAATCAATCGATGATTCCTCGTTTTAAGATAGAATTAGGTTGCGACAGCTTCAAAAACCATAAATAGCCATCACTCTCTACTAGGGCTGCAAACGAGCCGAGTCGAGTCGAGTTTTTGCTTAGCTTGAGCTCGGCTCGTTTATAAATTTTTTAGCTCGAGCTCGGCTCGAACTCGAATTTTGATCATCCAGCTCGAGCTCGAGCTCGACTCGATTAAAAATAATCCAGCTCGAGCTCTGCTCGATAGAGCTCGGTAAATGCTCATTAACACAGCTTGTCAAGCTAAGTACAAGCTCAGCTCAAAATAAGCTCGATTTGAAACCATTCTTGCTGAAAAATGTGTACAAATAAGAACATTAGAAATTAAAAATGATAAAAAGAACACTAGAAACTAAAAATAACATCTAACTTCCATACACATCCTTATTAACAAGATAATTTTCATGTTTAGAAGAGTAATTAATCCTTCCACAAGCTTTAAACAAGCCAGCTCGCGAGCTTAGCTCAACAAGCCACCGAGTCAAGCTAGCTCACGAGCTTATCAAGCCGAGCATGGCCTAGCTCAAACTTGGCTCGTTTACGAACGAGCCGGCTCGCGAGTCGGCTTGTTAAACAGCGAGTCAAGTGTCGAACGAGTTTTTTTCGATTCGAACGCCGAGTTCCTCGCGAGCGGCTTGGCTCATTTGCAGCCCTACTCTCTGCTGTACAATAAAATTTGCATACACTCTATCTTCAATCTCAAGAGTCGTATGTTTCAACCAAGAATTCAGTTTTTAATCCTCCTTCTGCACCTCCATTTTTTTAACTCCGTTCTATTCGCCATGGATTGATATCGGAGTTGAAATCTTGTACGCCCAGGTTTAAATCCCCAAAAATAAAATCCTAGTGCCAAGAGATATCGGAATATTGATTTTCAAGGGCGGCCTTGTATTGTGAAGTGAAAGGGGCGTACAAATTTAAATATAAATTGGAAAATGCAAGGACATACAACATGTAGTAATAGAATTAGTTTCTACTATGTTGACAATTACCAAATTTACCTTTAGCGAAAATTAAGAAGAGAGCAGTGATTTTAGAATTGAGAAACTACATGAAACTCTCCTTTGGAAATTGCATTATCAAGCACCATTAAAATACATACGATAGAATTAGTGAGCTTCTAATCATGATGGAAAAAGTTCTTCTTTCTTCGAACATGACTACCAGAGACATTTTAATGAAAATATTTGACATTATGTCAAATATCAATTATATTATATCAATGACATTAAGTGTTGGGATGATGTCCGAAATATATATTTCATGCCATCCCTAATCTAAGTCGGATAGTTATCCCATCAACGAGTTAAGAAAGAAGAAATATTAGGCGACGAAAAACATACTTTGGCTGTGGAACCAACACTGATAACTGGGATCGGTTAACATACTAACCCGGGTTGGAAAAATGACACTCCTATTAATTATAATTATTTTTGTATTAAATTCGTGTTGCATTTAATAATTTTTCGAAATTAAAAACTCATCTTATTAACATTTCTTTTTTTTTTAACTACCATTGCACCTGTATACTGAACTCATATTAATTATGTTCTTTTTTTGGAACTACCATTGCACCTGTACACTAATACCATTGCACTGATACAACTACCAGTGGACTGAAAAAGGGAAAGTAATTAATATGTGTTTTTAATTCATACATATTATTGAATGCAAAACAAATCAATTACCTTACCTATAATTAATAGGGGTGTCATTTTTCCAACCCTTTTAGAGGGCTTAAGATAGGATGCAATAACTAAATCTGGACCCTTCATTTAGAAAATTCAGATCTAAGGATGGAGAATTAAAGATCATTTTATATTTTCCCTAACTTTCTTAATCGACTCATATATTCTTCGTTTTAACTCGGATTTTAATTTTCTTTGCACAGATGGAACGAGTTCGTTGTGCTCTACAAAATAAGATACATTTTCAATATTTTTTTGAGAAAAAAATTTCTTGCCTCGGTACCAATTGCATACTATATGGTATCTTCTTCGTTTTTAATTCGTTTTTGAAAACGGTTGAACAGAAGGAACGAGTTCATCATGATCTATTGGATCTACAAATTTCTGGGTGAACAAATTACAGGACCAAAAAATACCACACAATACCACCCTGGTACGGGGTGGTATCTTGTGGTACACAATGTTAAAAGTCGTAAATG